TCGAAATTCGATCCCACTTACTGGGATGAAACTAAAATTATACAAACAAGCCAAGCCTCCCACCACTAGAGGACAAAAGAAGGAAAAAAGACAAGGACCACACCATCAAAAGGCCTAGTGTTACCAACGGGAATTGAACCCTTGACCTCCCACATACAAGACCAAAGTTTTGACCACTAGGTTAGAGGTGCTTCTTAAAACCTTAAGGGAACACTCCCTTCTTAAAACCCCCACAAATCCCTAAAACCCACAAAATCCCCAAATCAAAAACCCTTCTTCTTCTTCTTCTTCTTCTTCTTCTTCTTCCCCACTTCCTCTCCCCCTCTCCTCCCCTCTCCCACTCACCTCGCCGCCCCCAAAACCGGAACCCACGAACCCACCGCCGCCAGCAGCCGGACCACCGCCGACCGCCCAGATCGCACCCCACCGTACGCCGCCATCGCCGCCGGAGAGAACCCGCAACACCAGCACTGCCCGCCACCTGCCCGAACGCCGCCCGCTGCCACACGCTGCCCAACGCCACCCCAAAATCGACGCCTCCCCTCGACGAGCCGTCGCCGGAACCAAGATCGCCGCCGTCTCCCTCGCCAGCGGAAGAAATCGCGGCGCCGGAAAACCCACCGGAAAACACGTCGGAGCCCCACCGGAAAAGTCGCCGAAAAAGTGCCATCTACCCAAAAATGCCGAAAAAGCCCCTCGGAACCCGTACCCCGGAATGGAGCAATGCCGGCTACACCGTAATCGGAGGTAAAGCCCTTGAACCCGACCAATTTTCTCCGAAATTTGTCGATATGCTTAATCACCAAGGGCTTTTGGATACGTACCTCACCATCAAGGGGGATACGTACCCCGAATTGGTGAAAGAATTCTATCAACATCTAGTAGCCACCAAATGGGGTGATAAGCTAGAAATCACCACCAAGGTCCGCGGAAAGGAAATCATACTCTCCGAAAGCCGCTTGGCCAAGCTCTTGAAATTGACCACCACGGGTGTGTCAAATTACGACCGAAAAGGGTGGATTGATACCCAGAATACAGGGTACAAAGACTACCTCGGGTACCTACTCGGGAAAGAGGAAGGGTTCACCTCGGCCACGAGACCAAATAGGAAGTGGCTGACGGCGGAGCAAAAGATATTGGTTATGATTGTAACCGACAGCCTCGTGCCCACAAACAATAAGAGCAAGGACGTGGGAAGTTTAGAGTGCACTTTTGCCTATCTCTTGAAACACAAAATCAAGTTCAACCTACCGGCCCTCATGCTAAAACACATGGAGTTTTGCAAGATGAGCAACCGACTTAGCCTGCCCTACGGGATGATCCTAAGTTAGATCATGGAGAAAAAGGGGGTGGACCTAAGCCACACTGAGGTCAAGACCGTAAACGGCATGATCTTTAACGCCCAGAACCTCCACCGCAATGATATCTACTACACTGAAGGGGGACAATACCTCACCCTCGAAGAAATTTTCCTAAAACCCGAGGAGGAGCGAAGGGAATTGGTCGACCGATTGGACATTTCCAATAAAAAACTCAAACGAGCAATGCAAGATTGTGGGGGTTTAGAGGGAGATGAGGATCAGGAGGAGGATGACGAGCCTAACCCATCGGCACACCCACGATCAGGAAGGAACCCAAGGGAACAAAACGAGGGCTCGGTCAATGAGCGCATCCTAGCGCAACTCAACCGGCAAAACCAAATCATGGAGGAAGGGTTCTCGTCCTTAATCCGCACGACACGCGCATTAGATCAGAGGGTGGCAGCAATAGAGGCCACCTTGGGCACTCGCAGGGCATCCAGCTCCGGAGCAAGAGACCCAGGTAGACCCAAACTTCCCTATCACCACAACACCAGAAGTCCAGCCTACCCCAGCTAAGACAAAACGTGGGGCCACGTTCCTAACCAGGAGGCCAACATGCGGGATGTCCAGGGGTGAAAGAATGGATTAACACACCGGGCTACGGGGACGAAGCCCCTTGTAAGGGGGGGAGAGTGTAACACCCCGTGTTAGGCCCCCTAAAACCAATTAATCATTTAACCAATTATCCAAAGAAAGAATTAAATTACAATAATTAATTAGGAAAAGGCCCACCATAGTCCGTGGGCCTCACCCCTAAAACCCAACCCCTAGTCCTAAAAGGAATAGAGTTAGCAAGCCTATAGTAATTGGGCCCTAATTAGGACTCTTAGATATATAAATAGGGGACATAGGAGGCACCTAGAACCCACACCACAATAATCTCTGGCCACACAAGGAGCTCCAAGAATTCCCCTAGGAGAAATCAAGAAAGAAGAAAGACTTAGACAAAGATCCTTCATAGCCAAGGAAATTAATTAAGGCTAAGAGGTAACCCATGTCTCAACAAAACCTATTTTATTAGCTATGATCTCCCTCTAGGCATCCCTCTACATTCTTGTGTATTGATGATTCGTTTATGATATTGATGGTGTGATCTTGATAATTGATGTTATGCTTTCTTGGGTAATCTTGATAATCTTGATGATGGAAAGAGATTCTTGATGATTGTGTGATATTCTTGATAAACCTAGATTCCTAATGATTGTGTGATATTCTTGATAAATCGTATTGTTTCTTAGTGTTAAAAGATGAATTACGTTCTTGATAATTTAAATATAATTAGAGCCCTAGGATGTATCGTGAAACTGGTATGGTGGTATTCTTGATATATTGGGTGGGAATTCGCATGTTTGGGTGTTAATTATGTTTAGAAAGCATGACAGGATATGTGTCGTATGCTTCTTGCTTTTGATTTGTTAATTGTCTACGTGTTATCATCACTTACATTTAAAGGTGTCTAAGCATGGTTTCGGGTTCCACAAAGGTTCCCGGGGCGTTATTTGTGAAAAAGAGTCAGTGGGGGGTAGGTGGGGGTAGGGGACCCGCCACCTACCCGCGGCCAGTTTTGACGTCGACGGCAGCGGGCAGCCGGCGGGCAGGCGACTGCCCGCCGGGCACCGCTGCCCGGAAACTTGATGCCGGCGGGCAGCTGGCGGGTGACCCTTCACCCACCGGCTACCCGCTGGAAATTACCCCACCTCGGGATCTCGGCTTCCCCATTTGATGTTCCCCTGACCCCCGTGGTGTCCCAACGGACTCCGTTTATTGTGCCTATGTCTAGTTTGATGTTCGGGTACCATTCGTAGGTTGAATGAGTCTTATATATCGCATGCTAGTTGAATTGGTATCCCATTGGCCTAGGTGTAAGAAGTATGAACCACTTAGGATTATTCTTAGTATGTGGATGACCACGCATAGGTTTCGTTATACGATTTCTCCCCCTTCCCAATGTGCCAATGTGGGTGTCATGTGTTTGCTATGTGTTATGTGTGCATGATACCCCAATTTGGTTGCGATCAAATTGGTTATTCCTGAGCTGCGGTTCAGAAGCTGGCTGCGGTCAGATTTACACTCTCGGGCTGCGGTCCACCGTTTGGTTGTGATCAAACGTTTTACATGAGCTGCGGTTCATATTCCTGGATGTGGTCAGATGACTACTCTCGGGCTGCGGTCCACTGTTTGGTTGCGATCAAATATTATGATGAGCTGCAGTTCATCGGTCGGTTGCGATTGACCCCTCCGTGTTGCGATACGGGGCAGGGTGCTGCGGGGCCGTGTCAGAGCTATATGCGCTGACCCTCATGTATGGGCATGCGATTGGTCCTGTGGCGCCAACAAAGTGTGCTATGTGATGAGATATGGATGGTTTGATGTTATAAACGTTATGAAATCGTGACCATAGGAGACATGCTAGTAAACTGTATATGCTTGATTATGACTATTGGTTGTGCTTATCCCTATCTGTAGAGTCTATTCCCTGTTTTGAAAGCTAGAGTCCCTCAGGATATATCTTCATGCTTCAAAATGGTTTTTCATATATCTATGTATATATCTATATGTATTGTATTTCAACGCGTTGGAGTGGGTTACCAGCATCTCTCGCTGAACAGATATATTTGGCTTTCAGGCACAGAGGAGTAGACACTGGAGCACGCTAGAATCTTGGAGCATAGAAGTAGATAGTTTCCCTTTCGGCCTGCGTGCCATGCTTATGCATTTACATCGTCGAGGATATTAGTTAGTTAGCCTGTGCACCTGAGTTCTCTAGCTCAGGTGTGGCATAACACCCTGTACTATTTATATTATGTTTTGGGATTTAATGAGAACTTACCTTTATTATATAAGCTTCAAAAGTTTTAAAATTTCGGGGTGTTACAGAAACTGAAACTGGGGACGAAGATCCTACGAATCAATTGGAAGAAAACCCAGAAGAAGAATTCTGTCTAGGATGAAGAGATGTGAGTCCTTGAAAACTACCCCCCTTTTATTTTAAGACAGCTTACTTAGTTCGATTACTTAGGATCCCCGTATTTTTTTTTAATGAAAATTAATTAATTAGTTTGAACAGATTAATTCTCTTACTCTGCCCCTCGGGCTAATTAGAAACTAATTCGTTCCTCTTATAATCTACGAACCCCGAAACCAATACTTTGTAAGCTTAAGGATGCAATTAAAAAGCCTAAACTCGCACTACAAGAAAATTGGCCATTAGTGAGAGGTAAAACCGTCACTAAAAGCTCAAAAACCATCATAAAAGACTTTTAATGACGGGAAATTTACCGTCGTCACCCGTCGTTATTTCTTCCGTAGATTAAAGTAAATAGCGACGGGATATGGTGCCATCATTAATAATCATATAGTGATGGTGTATTTACCGTCATTAAAACATTCTTTTTGTGACCAAGAATCCCGTCACTAATACAACTACTCACTAGCATAATTCCCTCTCATTATATTCTTGTAATGATGAAAACTCCCGTCGTTAATATTACTATTTTCCTGTCACTAAAAATTATAATTTAGTGTCAAATATTAATTTTCTAATTTTGTATATATTTTTACTTCTCAATAAATATTAATTTTTGTGATACATTTTTTCTCACTAATCAAAATTATGTTATGTTAATTTTTTTCATAATGCAATCAAAGTAAACTCGATCAATATATTATAAGATATCATCATCATTACCAAAATGAAATGTTTCATACAACTTTGTAAAGACTAAAGACAAAGAAACTAATTATAACAAATAACCATAGTAATGTATCTATTGGGCGTTGGCTATTTTGAAAGGTGAAACTGTACAAATAAACATGTTTACTTAAGAGAAAAGCTGCCTTGAAGCAAAAATGTGCAATTTACTTTCTGGTGTTAGGTATGCCCTTTTTCATTAATAGCTTTGCCACCTGGTAGATAAAAGAGTCAAAGACAATATACTCAGTATAATTGAATATATAATAATATGCAATTAAATATCATGCATGCACTTTCACATATCGAAGGTGTATATTGAAGCATTTAACTCACAATTCAACCAATCGAAGCAGATAGATGAAGGGCCAAGAAATACATAGTGTGCAATTCAAGTTATATATTCAGAGATAAAACTCACAACTCAAAAAATAATTTACTGTAAACCCATCTCCAATCCCCCACTTCTAACCCCAACCAAATCCACCCCACTTCTAATTCATTGACCTTTGTCAAAATTTCAAGTGGCTTGCTACTGGCTTTAACAAAAAGTCGTCCAACATAGCTGAAATCAGAGAAGATCAGATCAAAAGCACAAACATGAATCTCCATTCCCAATAATGGGAAAAAGGATCCCAAGTATATAAGCATTGTTACATGAAGATCTATTCACAAGAATGGAAGGACTCAAAGTATACCAGCATGTTTGGATGATGTTTCATTAAGAACCGCATGCATGTTGGAGACCCAATATAGAAAAAGTAATAGTGTTGAGAGCAAAAGCCAAAGCATGAAGCTCAATTCATAAGTACAGAAATAAAGAGCCAAGTACACAATTCACTTGTCCAGCATGTTCCAGTAACACCATGTGCATGAAGAAGACCAAATATAAAGAAAACAATGGTGATAGTTGGCTTAAATAAAAGAATGAAAAAACTAAAACAGAGTCACAAATATTGTACAAGCATCAGCGGTAGTTCATAATCTATCTTTCTTAAGTGTAAGCAATATGCATAGCGTAGTGTAAGCAATTGCATAACAATATGCTATTACAAATAAAATATGTTTCATACAAATTAATTATCATATGAACCTAGATGCCAATCTGATAATCATTTCACATTATTACATCCATAGGAGTACCAAAAGTTAGTGATGAATCTTTTTCATGCAGATTTTACTTTAAATTGTTTAAATAGGTTCACATTAGACAAACATGGAATGGCTATCTCTTTGAATAACCAAATGTTATCTAACAAACAAACAAAAAAAAAACTGAGCAAGTATAATACCGTATCTCCTGCCTAAGAGGGTCATAACGTTTGAAGAATAGAAGAATGTCTGGTCTCTCTGGCAGAGGGATGGATTCCCAATCCTATATGGAAGCACAATATTTCATAGAGAGATGAGAATTAATGACTATTTCAGGAAAAATATCATTTGAGAGAAATGATTGCAACTGTCATAAGGAGGTAGATCACTGGGCAAGTCCACCATTACCTTGCCAAGTTCTATTTCCATAAACAAGGTTAGCTCAGCTTTTTCTTCATTCGATATTTCAGTCAGTTTGCCAACCTTAAAAATACAGTATGGAAGAGTATCAATAAAATCCATTGAGTTTGCAGACATAAGTGAAAAACAATATACATAAATAAGTAATAGAAACAAAATACCACTCAAAAGAATAAGAGATTTCCAAACAGAAATGGTGGAGACAACAGGAGAGCAATGAAGCTGTACAAACTCTAGGATCATTACATCAACTCACCATATTTCAGATAGCCAACAAAAATATAACCATAAAATTTCCAATAGCTGCAGAACATAAGTAATGAAAACAAAAATATTGTCATAAAATTTCCAATAGCTGCAGAAGCAATGAAACTACGAAGGCAGGAGCACCAAGAGCTCTCAGAGCCAGAAATGTTTGTAAATAAATTCAGCACAGAGCCACAGAACCAAAATCTTGAATTTACATTTTACTACATCTCTCCAACTGACAGTCTCTCTCCAAGTTACTTCTAGAAACAACAAAACACATTCACAAACACATGAAGAACAAAAAATTCTCTTATTGCAACAAAAGTCATTTCAATAGTATATTAACCCATCAAACTGAACAAGAATAAAAACCTAAACCTACAAACTAAAAATTCTTACAATGTCAACAATTAAGCCACTGGAGAAACACTACAAAATTTTAAAACTAAACATCTATATGATTTTCTTTATATAAATCAAACTATCAAAGTGAACAAATAATCAAATAGAAATTATAAAATTAGTATGCAAGTTAGTAACTTACCTTGATAATTGGAACTTGGAAGAAGGGAAGAACCAAGAGTCTGACTTGGGTGAGGGCCGTGAGGCGTTGAGGCTGACTGGTTGAGAGGCGACCGGCAACTCGGTGACGCGCGAGGCAGTGAGCGCCTGAGCAGCGAAGGGCAAGAGGACTGTGTTGAGACTGATAGCTGGCTGGCTGCGACTCCTGTCTCCTACAGTCCTTCGAGAGATTAAGAGACAGAGCGAGACAGAGAAGGCAGAGAGGGCTGCGCGACTGGCCGGTGATTAGGATGTTAGGGTTCGCGGACGAGAGACGGAGAGATTGAGAGGCAAAATGAGTGATACTGGTTGAGAGGAAGATGTGTGGTGGTCAAATTTTATGTACTCCGTACAAAACAAGAGGGCGCCTAAAAATAAATGTTTTGGAGGGAATAAAATTTTAGTGGATTAATTTTCAGATATCAATAGTGAGGGTAATAACATTTTTGGTACCAATAGTGAGAGTATATTTTTAAAATAAATATACAATTAAAATTCCGTCACTAAATCATAAACCTTTAGCTATAGTAATTTTTAACTCTCACAAAAGCTAGGCAAATAATACATTTAGTGAGGGGTTTTTCTACCCGTCACTAATTTTTTGTCGCTAAAGATTGTTTTTCTTGTAGTGTTGGAATTTTTCCCACCTTGAGACAACGAATGGTAAAACCCCTCAAGAACATAAAACGAGTGCACCAAAAGCACTAATATCACTAGTGGGATTCAGACCATAAACTTACCACTACCAAACTCATGCCTTAACCATTAAACCATCATTATTTCTTAAAATCCAAAGAAGACAAAACCTTCTTAACCCCCTTTCCAAATCCCTAAAATCCAAAATCCCCAAATCAAAACCTTTCTTCTTCCCATGTTCTCTCTCTCTCTCTCTCTCTCTCTCTCTCTCTCTCTCTCTCTCTCTCTCTCTCTCTCTCTCTCCATTTCCCCTCTCACTCTCACCCACTTCAGCCGAACCCCCCCAAGGACCCTTCAACTACACGGCCACACCCCAGGCACCACCCAGCTGCCGACCGCGAATCGCCAACCGCCCACTGCCACCGCACCGCCCTCCCACGCCAACCGCTGACCTAGCAGCCGCGAACCACGGACGCCACTACTGCCGCCCCTTTCCGACAACGCCACCTCGCCGAGCCCGCCGTCGCCTCCAGACGAACGGACAGCCTAGTTGCAGCGGTGACCCCCACCATCGCGACGTCGCCACCACCTCGCCGCAACCCCCGCCGGAGAACCCACTGGAAACCCCACCAGAAAAATCAAGTCCCAAGATTTGTTCAACGACGCCGAGGAGTGTTGGGAGTGTTCTTAGAAATAAAGAACAATACGTACCCCAAGTTGGTAAAAGAGTTTGATAAGTACAATTTATATCTTTAATTTAGATTAGCTATTATAATAAATTAGTTTTATTTATTTAGTATTATATTTATTTTGAACTTAATTTTATGTTTCGCACTAATATAATATTATATAAATAATTAGACTTAATAGACAAATTAAAAAGAATTGGCTTAGTTGATGATTTGGATTAATTTCCTTTTTATTGTTTTAACTAGTTAGCCCATGTAAAGTGTTTTAATTGTTTTGTCAGCAACCCAAATGCCCAAGTCTCATTTAATTTATTGCCTCTCTTTTGTTTCATTAGTTATGTACGAAGCTGTAGCAGCAGAATGAGTCAAGACGACGACGAGCGGCTTCTTCGAACTTCTTCTACGAACTACACCCACGATCTACAATGAACAGACGTAATCAAATTGAAGCAGAGGTTGGAGTAATTGGAGTCTTGTTTGTTAATTATCTCTGGTTAGAAAAATAAATATAATTTATTTTTCAGATTTTAAGTGGTTGAAGAAATTGAATTATTTTGTGGATGTTAGGGAAATTAGGGCTATTTTGAGCAAATTAGGGAGCCTGAACTAGTATAAATAGGGATGAATTTTTCAGTAGAGAGAAGTCAGTTTTGATAGAACAATTTTATTTACTTTGTAAACACTCCCTGCAATGTACTGCTGAGTTCGAATTTTCCAACTCAAGGATTATTGAAGTTTGATCCTACAAGACCAGTGAGATTTATTTAGCTTAATTTTATTCTCTGCACTTTATTATTTATATATCTCCTGTAATCTGAGTTTAAATTATTGCTTGATTAATTGTTGCAAAGGGCCCATTGTTCAATTGTCAAGGAATTATATTGCTAATTAGAACTTTGAATCCGTAATTGTTTAAGTGTTCTAAAGCTAGTAGCAAATAACATAGTTGATCATAAATTAGATTTTCAATCTTATGTTATGAAGATATATAGTCTAGTTTAAATGAACCATGCTTTTGAGTTTGTTGGCTAGATGTTCTTTACTACTTTCTTTACTTACTGCTCTTTACTTGCTTCACACGAGATATACTTGTCACAATCTCACACACACTTTATCTTTATTTATTTCCGCTGTGCACCATACTCTAACAATCTAGTTAAGAGTTTTGGTTTCTCTCTGGCTTAGCAATTGTTGTGCTGTGCGAAAAAGTTTGAAAGTCTATTCACCCCCCCCCCCCCCCCCTCTAGACTTTCACCTTACCTCTTTTGGGACCAACACATTCTACCATTCAGATTCTAATTAGGATTTGCTAATTCAATAAATAGGGGATTAGGAAGCAATTAGAACCCTCTCACATCTCATAACCCTGATACACGAGATTGCCCAAGAACCTAGCAAAAAGGAATTCCCCACCACCAAGCCTAGGAAGATCAATCGGAGGAAAATCATGGGGAAGAACCTTAATAGCGAAGGGAGGATTAATTAAGGCTAAGATGTAACCCATGTCTTACAAAACCTAATTTTCTTGCTATTGATTATTGATTGGCTCCGTTGAACAATTGAATGTGTGATTTGGTATTTGTGCCTTGTTAGAGCTTGTCTTTAGGACTTGTGATATGGATTCTTGTTATTCTTGATATTCTTGATGGCCATGTGTGGTTATTGTCATGTCCTTGTATTTAATTGTGTTTAGAGCTTGTCCCTAGGGTTTATTCGTTGAATTTTGTTATTGATAACGTTCTTGGTATTCTTGGGTGGGTTCATGCATGCTCGGGTGTTATTCTAGGTGTAGGGCTTGTTGTTGAAGCTTGGTACGATTGAGTTCTTGAGGTTCTTGATGATCTTGAATCGTTGTTAATTTATTCTTGACTCTTGGCATGATTGGTGCTTGTATTTGGGGTTTAATTGTGTTGGTTCCTTGACTTAATTCTTGGTCTTCAAGTCCATATTGTTGTTGATATGTATTGGCATGTGTTTGGACATGATTTTGGGTTTAATTGATGAATTCCCGAAAGGGAAAAATGCCAAGGTACCATTGTACCAGCGGGGGGTCGATGGGGGGACGAACCCCCACCCAACCACCCGCCGGGTACCGCCCACCGTACCAGCGGGTAGACGGCGGGTGGACAACTACCCGCCGTGTACCCGCTGGTACCGTACCGCCTACCGGCGGATGGATGGTGGGTGGTTGACCTCCCGCCGTACCACCCGCTGGTACGGGCAGTGTGTTGTACTGTTTTACCCCGTTTGTTGTTTCCCTGTGCCCCGTTTGATGTTCATGAGTCCCATTTGATGTTTCAGGTATCGTTTTAGGAGTTATGAGTCTTGGTTATTACATGTGGTTGAAGTTGGTATCCAGTTGGCCTAGGATGAGATTTGTATGATCCTGTATGTGCATTGAGGGTGCCTTATTATCTTGGGAATTAGGGTTTAGGGTGTATCTGGTGGGTGGTGTGTTTGTATTGTTGGTAATTGTTGACAAAGTTTATGTGAGTGCTGTGCCCTTCCCTCTTGACCATCACCTTGCTATCTGTTGATGAGTGTTGGCTATCATTGTTGTTGTGCTTGAGTTGTTGTTTGTTGTTGGGTATTGATTACAGTTGTTGATTGAACATTGGCTACTGATGGTTGTTGAGTGTTGACTATTGCTATTGTGATTGAGTTTTGATCGTTGTGTTTGATTGTCCATGATGAGAAAAGAGATATGATTGGTGGAAAAGATTTATTGGCGGTTTGGCACAACGAGTGCTCGGCCATTGTGTTAAAGGCACAGACCATTCGGTTAATGTGCTAAAGGAACAAACCACCTTGATTAGTTTGCTAAAGGCATAGATCAAGTTATTAAGCACTACGGTGCCATGTCATGTGCTATAGGCATTGACCTCATTGATTATAGTGCTATAGGCACGGGTCATGCGAATGGTACTGCGGTGCTATCAGATTGGTGGTTTTGTTGGCGGATGTCGGTGGGGAGCATGTGGGCTTCGGAGGGATAAGGGAGGCGTTATAAGGGTGGCCTGGAGGTACAGGTTGGAACTGATATAAGGATGGAGAGGAGTAAATGTTAGAACTTGGTATAAGGTTGGATCATGAATGTGTTCTCTGTTGACTGCATGTTATTGATTGTTGTTGAGTCCCATTGTTGTCATTGTTTGTTATTATTGAGCTTTGTTATTATCTTATCTTGCGAATTTTGGTTGCATGCTAGTATCTTCATGGTGTTCATGGTGTCAACCTATTGTTGCGTCTTGAACCTTGATCTTGGTTTTAAGCTAGCGTTGCTTAGGATTATATGTATGTATTCCAGTCTCAAAATGGTTTTTTATATCTACTTATATTGTACTCAATGTGTGGGAGTGGGTTACCAGCATTATTCGCTGACGGTTGTTACACCGTATGTTTTTCCGGTACAGATCAGTAGCTTCGGAGTGTGCGAGATGGATACGAGGACCTAGCTTAGATAGTTTAGTAATGGTAGTTGGCTGCATGCCTTGGTTTGTATTTGAATATTAAACTTGGATTGTGTTCTGTTTAGTTAGTTAGCATGTGCTTCTATGTTCTCAAGCTTAGATGTGGCATAGCACCCCGACTTTTATTATGTAGTCTCTGCTCTGTTTGGGATATTAATGTTAGTTCGCATTTACTTCATAAGTTTTAGATGTTTTAAAAATTAGGGGTGTTACAGTTGGTATCAGAGCCTAAATTCGATCCTAGGATGATGACTTTAGGACGGAACTTTAGGACATTGAGCGTGAACTCTAAGCATTCAGGAACTTAGGACTTACGAATTCCATGACGTGCCATTAGAATGTGAGTTTACTTATCGCTTTTTGCTTAGCTTTCCTTTGACTTGCTCCTTGTCTAGTTTAAAATTCTTGTAGTTAAGGCACCAAGGTAAGTGTGCGAGTCCTTGACTTACGTCTCCGACTGATATTAATCCTGTAGAACCTAAAATGGCACCATCATGAAACTAGGCAAGGACCCCTGAGCCCGCTGCACACGATCAACTTACCGAAAACTTACAACAGCTAACTCAGATTGCCCAGATCCTGAGCAGCGCCATCCTTAACAGTAACAACCGACCGACCTCGAGCAAGAACCTGGATGTGGCCCGCCAGGTGTCAAACCATCGCCGACCTATTGTCGCAGGAGAAGAAGACCCTACCACACTCGAAGAATGGATTCGAATGTTCGACAAGATCTTTGAGGTAGTAGGGTGCCCGGAAGATCGCCGCGTTGAATTATCTTCATTCTACTTTGGTTTGTATTTGGATATTAAACTTGGATTTTGTTCTAGATAGTTTAGATAGTTTAGTAATGGTAGTTGGCCTGCGTGCATTGGTTTGTATTTGGATATTAAACTTGGATTTTGTTCTGTTTAGGTAGTTACCCTGTGCATCTAAGTTCTCAAGCTTAGATGTGGCATAGCA